AGTACCACGTCTGGCCGGGCTATGACTACGTCGGCTGGCGCAACGAAAGCACCGCCGGCGGCTACGTGGAGATCACCTTCGAGTTTGACCGCATCAGGAACTTCACCGCCATGAAGGTCCGCGGGCCCCCCGCCCTGTCCCCCGGCCCTGGCCTCCACCATGGCCACGCTGATGGGCTGCCCCACAGGTCCACTGCAACAACATGTTCGCCAAAGGGGTGAAGATCTTCAAGGAGGTGCAGTGCTACTTCCGCGCCGACGCCAGCGAGTGGGAGCCCAGCGCCATCTCCTCGGTGCTGGTGCTGGATGACGTGAACCCCAGTGCCCGCTTCGTCACCGTGCCCCTGCTCCACCGCATGGCCAGCGCCATCAAGTGCCAGTACTACTTCGCTGACGCCTGGATGATGTTCAGCGAGATCACCTTCCAGTCAGGTACACACTGCCGCGAGCGCTTTGGGGACTGGACCCTTCTGGAGGGGGTTCAAGGAGGGACCGGGGCTGTGGGGCACCCATGCCCCCACCCTCATGCCCTTCACCTCTCCCTTGCCAGATGCAGCCATGTACAATAACTCAGTGGTCCCCCCTGAAGTGCCTGTGGTCCCCACCACCTATGGTAAGGCACTGGAAAGCATGTCACCCTGAGCCAGGCAGGGGCCAGGGTCACCTCCCCGTGGGGAGGTGCTCCAGAGGGCTCTGCCCATCCAGTGGAGGAAAGGGAGCAGGCAGGGGCTCTCCTCTGGCCCTGGCATGACCGGCTCTTGCTGTCCTCTCCTTCTGCCAGACCCCACGCTCAAGGTAGATGACAGCAACACGCGCATCCTGATCGGCTGCCTGGTGGCAATCATCTTCATCCTGGTGGCCATCATCGTCATCATACTGTGGCGGCAGTTCTGGCAGAAGATGCTGGAGAAGGTGGGCAAAGGTGGGGTGGCTGGCAAGGTGTCCCAGCACGGTGGGCTTGTTCTGGACAGGTTCTCCTGGGAGCTCAGCATGGGGAAAGCAGAGTCTTTGCAGGGGCTGATGCTCCCTTCCCCTCCTCGGGAAGGTTGAGATTTGCACCCATCTCCAAGGCAAGGGGATTTCGCTGAGCCGGGCAGTGCCGTTGGGACCTGCTTGCTTGTCCATCCCTCTATCCTGAAGCTGGGCTGGGGAGGAGGAGCCCAAGGGGGCTGAGAGCAGTCGCAGAGGTGATGGAGCCAAACTCTTCTCCATGGAGGCAGACAATAGAAGGGGGGGCATGAGGACAAATGTCTTCCCCAGGTGGGTGCTGCAGCCCTGGATCTGGGCACCAGAGAGGGGGGCTCAGGGCTGGGCATGGCCACAGTGCCATGGAGCACAGGAGACCCCATCCCACCAGTGCTGTGGAGACTCCCCATCCCAGCTCTCTCCTTCCTCGCCCCACTCTCGCAGGCATCTCGGAGGATGCTGGATGACGAAATGACTGTCAGCCTCTCCCTGCCCAGCGAATCCAGCATGTTCAACCACAACCGCTCCTCCTCCTCCAGCGAGCAGGAGTCCAGCTCCACCTACGACCGCATATTCCCCCTGGGCCCCGACTACCAGGAGCCCTCCCGCCTGATCCGCAAGCTGCCCGAGTTCACCCCGGGGGAGGAGGACACGGGTGAGAGCTGGGGCACCCTGCGTGCCATCTACCATGCGCCGAGCCCAACACGGCCCATCTCCCCAGTCCCAGGTTTTGGCCAGGCTACAAACATTTTGGCACGGAGGGGTCAGGGGGATGTTGCATGAGCTCCCCTACATCCCGCTCGGGGGGTCACACAAAGCCTGTGGCCGAAAGCCATCACCGTGTCCACACTGGGCTCAGCTGTGCCCCCACCACCATCCTTCGGATGCTCCGGATTCTATTCCTCGATGATCCAGAGGTCGGGCACTGATCCCTGCTCATTTGGCACTTGGGGCTGGCTCGATGCATTTGTTGGCGATGGGGAAGGAACGGAGCAGCCTGTGGTCTCTGCAGGAGCCCAGCCATGCCGGGGCAGCATGGGACTCTGGGGAGGGTGGGGGGGGAGAA